AGTTCGCGTGTTGATTTTGGTTGATTTAGTGGTGGTGGTGTTGATTTTGGTTTCTGCGTTTCTCCCATTTTTTCTTCGTTTTTTGCGTTTCTCCTCATCTCTGCTCCAGCCATCACGTGATGTTGATTTTGGTAGATTTTGGCAATGGTTGATGGAGGTGGTGATGGTGGCGGCGGCGGTAATGGTTGATGGTTAATGGTGGTGTTGATTGTGGTTGATTTTGGCGGTGACAGTGCTTGATTTTTGTTGATAGTTCATAGTGGTTGTGTTGATTTTAGCAGTAGTTGATGATCGTGGTGATGGTGGTAATGGTTGATGGTTCGTGGTGGTGGTGGTGATTTTGGTTGATGGTGATGGTTGATGGTGGTGGTGTTGATTTTGGCAATGGTTCATGCTGGTGATGGCGGTTGACGATGGTGATTTTCAGCGATAGCAGTGGTGGCTGCGTTGATTTTGGTTGGCAGTGGCAACTGGTGGTAATGTACTCAAAATTTCAAAGTAAATGCGTTTTTCATTTTTGTGTTTTGAGAAACAGTTTTGCAGAATGACAAAAAGAACGTATTTTTAATAATTTCAAAACAGGCACTCAAAACACAAAATCGAAAATGAATTCAAAACTCAAAAATACAAAATCGAAATACAAAGAAAACATGGCCTTAACTTCTCCAATATGCTTTTATGGATATTCCGCTATGCCATTATTAATTACTTCCTCAACCCATCAAATATTCTCTAAAAAATCCACTTGCACAAATATACATGTATGTACACAGTATATATATATACCCATCCTTCCTACGCTCAATTTCCACCTTTCACGGTTTTTCTCCTATAATTTTGAGAGTTTTCATAGTGTGAGGGACCATGATGTTTTCGAAGATTTTGAGCAATCGGATCAATGAAACATTGCCAGATTGGGAAGACAAGTTCTTACCGTATAGAGATTTGAAGAAACAGTTGAAATTGATTTATCCCAAACAAGGGTCGTGCAAAAATCTTGAAAATAATGACATTAACTTTAATGGGAGGCCAAATAAACAGCTCAGATTGAGTGATGATGAAAAGGACGTTGGAGATTGTATGGGCGGAGTGGTGATGATGGGAAGAAAATGATAAAGGAAGGAATTGATTTTCTGGAGCTTTTGAAAAAGGAGATCGAGAAATTTACTCTTCGGTAGTGATTATGAGGATTAATTTTTTGATCGTTAAAAAGAAAAATGGATTATGCCTATGAGTGAAAAAGTAAAAAAATGACGACTGAAATAGTGAAATAACAATCAAAAAATTAATTTTTTGGAATAAAAATTACTCCCAAACAGGGGTTTAATGTATTATTCTTCAATATAGAAGAGTTGTACATTATTAGATTAAAGGTGTTGCCTTTCTTTATTATTATAATTTTTGGCATTTTGTTAGTTTCATAACATAGTCTTGCTTTATAGCCATTTTTGTTGAGAGTATAATTAATTTTTTTTTGTTTTCTAATATATTCTTATTTAACTTGTTTTATTATCAACAAGTATGAATTTCTATTTAAATTATTATTCAATGCAGGAGTATATTAGAAAAAATATAAGAAAAATTTATATTTTCGTTTGCATTAATTATATTTTTTTAATCTACGTGAAAATGGAAACATATCTTCATAGTCATGTTTTATGAGTACCGTATTTTTATATATTTTTTTTGTTATTATTGCTATTGGTTTTGGGTAGATTATGTGTTTTAGGAATCAGTAACTTGCACCAAAAAGGTGTTGAATTTTGGAACACACAAGAAATTGTTTTTATAGACAATAAACTTGTGCAATTAATTTTTTACAAACACACCTTACAACACACTAGATAATTGCACTATGGGCCTCTTTGATTGGCCCTTGTTTCCCTAGAAAATGGAAATGGAATTCCTTTACTCACAAAATGACTTGTTTGATAGCCTTTTAATTCCATGAAATTAGAATTCCACCAACTGTTGCCACATCAACATTTTCCTTCTATTGATGTAATTTCAATTCTCACCAAAATGGTGAGAATTTGAATTCAAGCTTTTTTTTTTTTTTTTTTGGGTAATGGAAACAAATTCTAAGAATTATTATATAAAAAAAAATATTTTCCTTTAATTGACAATTTTCATGTAAAAAAAATTCAAATAAATACCAAAAGATAGATGATTTTTTTGGGTTTTGGCAATGGAAACAAATTTTATCCCCAATACCAGTAAATTATATCCCTTTAATTGACAATTTTTATGTAAAATAAAGTCAAACGAACACCAAAATATACTTTTATTTCTATATTTTTCACATGAAAATTTATACTAATCAAACACAATAATTTATAATTTTTAAGAAAACGATTTCTAGGAATTCAATTTCCTGAAATTCGTTTTCTAGACAATTTAATTTCATCTTTACAATCAAACGGACCATAAGGGTGTGTTTGATAGGATGGAATTGAATTTTCTAATTTTAGGTGTTTGATACATTTTTTTTCAAGGAATTCAAATTTTTGATTTTCTTGAATTTTGGAGTTTTCATGGGTTTTAGGTCCCATGTACTGTAGCAGAATTTTATTTTATTTTATTTTTTTTGCCAATGGAAACAAATTTTATCCCTAATTGTAAAAAAAAAAAAGTCCTTTAATTGACAATTTTTATGTTAAACAAAACTAAACGAACACTAAAAAATGGATGATTTTCTTGACTTTTTATTTTTTTGACAATAGAAACAAATTCTATCCTCAATACCATTAAATTATATCTCTTTAATTGACAATTTTCATATAAAACAGAGTCAAACGAACACCAAAAATCACTTTTATTTTAACATTTTCCATGTGAAAAATTATACCAATCAAACACAATAATTTATAATTTCCAGGAAAATAATTCTAGACAATTCAGTTTCATTTTTGCAATCAAACCGACCATAACTATTTTCCAGCAGTACAATTCTCTCTGTCCCCCACTTTTTCTCTCTCTCCATCACTTTCTCTATATATGCACTGCTGCTTCTAATGCTCTGCTTTCTTCTTTTTTCACCTGGATTCAGACACAACAAACATATATATATATATATATATATATATATATATATATCTGTGTGTGTGTGTGTGTGTTTAGACAGAGAAGTCGGTGGTTGAAGTTTCTAGAATGATGGTGGCTTTGTATCCAGATTTTTCGACAAATGGCGATGAAGAGCGAAAGCCGGCAAGCTTATGTCCCTGCATGATCGGTAGGTCCGTTAGAAGTGCCTCAGGGGTTCTGTTAGTGTCGACAATAATGGAATAATCTAGAAATCCAAGTTGTTGGTCTTTAATTCCAGGTTTTTCGGTTGTGTCGGGAGCTCCTAGATTATTCCCAAAAGGCGGTGCTGATTCTTCAAAATGGGAGAAAGAAAATGAAAGAAAATATGTGTAGGAATGCAAGAAAATAGGAGATGGTCTATATTACGTTGCATGGTGGTATACCATATTTTGGGAATGCCTGAACATTATATCTCGAGGACTGGAAATGGCTTTCCCTTGCAATTTCATCATTGTTGTGCTCAAGCACTGAGTCACCCCGGGATACAGTGCTCGAGGATAGTCGGTCAAGCGGCACCCCACGTTTTGTGATTTAGCATGGTGGTCCTCGGGAATGGATTCTCCTTAATGGCCTACGACAGTTGTCATTGATCTAATAAAATTTCTATGTACTTGGGACTTTAACTCTACTCTACTACTTCAATATTTGACCCCGTAAGGACTTCATCTTAAACATGATTGCGATATCGGTCTAACTACTTTACCTAGCAGGACTCCATTGGATAAGAACATCCACCCAATTCAAATTCTATTAGGAATGTACTACCTAAACAAGGCATGAGACCATTGCACAAGTATGTTTTCATTATTTTTCAATTTATAGCCTCACGTATAAATTTCTTTCCTAACTTAAGTATCGGAAGAATGACGAGAACAAATCTCGTTGCCTTTGTTTTAGGTATCGGAAGACTACGATCATGTCCATTCAAAGTCCTCGAGCTCGAAAAACCAGTAGGTACTATTTTTGGTAGCATCACCTGGTATTCTAATGGAATTTATAATTTCTAAATGACTTGACTGATGGAAAACCTTTCTTACTATTTGAGTTCAATTAAACTACTCAAACATTTGGGAATTGGAGGGGTGCCACATTGGCCCGTCCCCAAAATCTTGTAAAAAAATCTGTCACTCCAGCATTGTTGGGTTGAATACAAATTCTAAAAGAAAAGGTTGCAGAAGCTAAGGATTTAGAGATAGAGCTGATGAAAATAGGAAGAAAGATTGTAGATTTTCATGGCGAGATGATTCTGTTGGAGAATTACTATTACATCCCATTTTATACTTAGTCAAAAGTCAATATCAACTAGTCAAAGCCCAAGTCAAATAGGGACTTAAATTGTATAAATAATTTTATTGGGACTTAATTGACCAAATTATTTTATTGGGGTTTATTTTATAAATTGTCAATACTTTAAGGTTTAAGATGGATAAAAAAATAATTTTTGGAGATTTACTTATATATTATTGAAAGTAAAGTGGTTAGATTTTATATCCAATAGAAGTTAAGGATTTAATGTGATGTTATATGGAAGTGGAGGACTTAAATGCAAATGAGGGGATTAGTGGATTACAAGTGTCAACTGCTTAACTATTTTAGCCATTTTCAATTGATATATACCTACAAAAATCTGGAAACGGGGCAGAGAAAGAAAAGAGAAAGGAAAGAGAGAAAGAAGAAAAGAAAGAAAGGAAAAAAGGAAAAGGAAAAAGAAAGGAAAAGAGGTAGGGTTGGCTATTTCAATTTCATCTTCAATTTGACAAATTTCTTGGTATATTTTATGCTTAAATTTTTTAGGGTTGTGATTTATTGGTTTATTTTTCAAATTGAAGGAAGGAATATGTTTGCAAGCCAATATTTTTGAATTGGGAAGGCTACTTACATTAAGGTGTGAAATACCAATTTTGGACAAAACCTAGAATTTTTATTTGAGTTTTTGAATGAGTATAGTTAACAGGAATAATTGTAGAGATGAAATACTCATTTGAAGGCATGAATTTATGGAGCAAGATGGAAAATTAAATTGGTTAAATTATAATTATTAGTTATACTAGTTTGGAAGAAGGTATTATTTTTATGTTTGTAGTGAAGATTATTTTAATGAATTAGATTTTAATGAAAGTACTAGAAGGTAGAATTAGTTCCAATTGTGAAGGAAATTAAAGAATATATCCAAGTGTCGAGTATTTCGTAGTTAAAGAAGTTAAGGATACTTGGTAGAGTGGTTATTAAATTGGTTATCTTGTATTATATTTCAGGAGATGAAGAGAAGATTGAAATCATGATTGGTCCATAACTTGGTGAGTGGATATAATAAATTATTTTTCAGATATTAGTATTTATTATTATTTCATACAGTTGATTTTGATAACATGATTTTTAAAATAAAGTGAATTTATAATCAGATACTTTTAAAGTTAAATTTAATTCAATTAAATCACTTGATTAGCATGTTATTTGAATATAACTGTTTCAGTATAGCTAAAGTTATTTTTAAAACCACCAGAAAATACTCAGGTGATTTTACCTCAGTTTGCACTGGTGTGAATGTGTTTCCACAGTGTATGACTAGTTATGATGATTTTACCCGTTCTGCACTATTGTGAATTTGTTTCCATAATGTATGACCAGATTATCAGAGGTCTTTGGGACCCACCCTTGTACACACATAGGCTTTGGGCCGTGTACTAAGGTGATTAGCCTTTGGGGCAGCTCTGCGTACGTATGACCAGATTATCAGATTTGAATGGCTCTGCCTTGTACATCGAGATTACTTTGTACATGAGCAAGACTATTCATTGGGTACCTTTTTGGTGTGATTTTTCAGTATTTCTACAGCTTATCATATTTCAGATTTTAGAATTCGGTCTGTTTAGTTCTCTGACTAAAGCTTTCAGCTTATAGTATTGATCAGCTGCAATATTTTATATATTTTCACGAATGTCATATTATTTATATTCATTACATTTTACAATTACTTATCTAGAATGAAGAATAAAGAATTTTATGATGTATTCATGTTTGATTGTAAAAAGTGTTACCAGATTTCAGAATTTCTTAAAGTTTCAATAGAACAAGGATTTTCAGAAAATATGCGTAAATGAAAAAAGTATGCTTATTTGCAAACTATCCACTCACTGAGTTACAAGCTCATGTTTTGCCACCCTTTTCTAAGTAGATAGTAGCAGAGTTGAGCAGTCTTGGAGCCTGTCAATTCACCTAATTGAGCCACACATCAGTAGTTGTATAGCCTACTTTATCAGATTATTATTTGATATCTTTAGTACGTTTGGGGACCTTTGGTTGTAGAGTAAAGTTATTATTGATTTGCTAGTATTCTATCTGAACAGTTTGGATTTTGAGGGGTTGTTGTACCTTGTTTTATATTGATTTGAGGAAAATTGGTAATTGTTCAGGTTGTTTTAGTTCGTATTTTAGGGGAAACTCTATCAAAATTCTATTAAAATTTTTTTTCAATCAAGCAATTCAAGATTGCCTTGATGGTGGGTCCGGCGTTCAGTTGGTATCTACCATCGGCGCATGACAAGTGTCGAGTCCACTAAGATGATTCGGGACGGGTTGTATCAATTACAGTGCTCTAAACTATACAGGTTCCTACCCCTTATTATGCCTTATTGTAAATGGCTTGCTCCCTTTCGTGAATGTGTGATGATTGTTTGGGCCGGGAATTGCCATCTTATAGTTATATGTTAAAACATGAGAATTTTTGTTAGCTGTCTTCATGATGATGTTTTTGTGTGGCATGGTCGTTATATTTCTGGTTATCATAAATGGTTATCGTAATATTTTACCTCTTAATCTGATTGTAATTTGATCAGGAGCTTTCTTAACTCAAGGGTACGTATTTAGATTAGATGGAGGTCTTTTTGCAACCAAACTAGAAGATAGACCCTACGATTTGTATTATCGGAAATTCCTCATTGAACTGCACTCATTTGTGTTAGATCCATTTGCCAAAACTCTAATCACATACAAACTGTTAACATGTTCATCGCTATGAATCTCGAGGCACTTGCTATGCCAACATAATTGTTTCGCGCGGGTTCGTCGCTAATAATTAAAAGGGATCAGACGATTGTGTAAGAGACAAACCTCTTGAGACAAAGTCCCAAAAAGGGGTGTTCTTTTATTGGCAATGACTTTACAATTGGAAATTAAAAACAGAATGCCTCCAAGGGGCGCAAGCACACGAGTTACTGAAAAAAGTGTTTAAATCTAAGCTAAGGAATTTAAAAATTACATGTTCTCTGTTCGAGAGTTTTTGATTCGGTCCTTTGCTATATGTCTTTTCTTCCTTTTATACTCCCTGGATGATCTCTTTGTGATCAACCGCCTAAAAACTGCTTGATCGTTCTACAACTGCCCACTTTCCTCGTAATGGCCAACTTGTCATGGAACTGCCTTTTTTAACTGCTGTCATTACTCTTCGTCGTTCAACCATTTTCGATTGAATTTCTTGAATCATGGAACGTGATAGGGCTGCTTTAACAACTGCTTTGATAACTACACTTCTTGATAACCACAACACTTTATGTTTGCTAAGACCTTGGGCGACTCGAAAGTTTGGGCGAGAATAGAGTAACAGCTCTGGGCGACTGCATGACACTCCATTCGCTCAGATTCTGGGCGACTTGCAAACTTGGGCGATGGTGTTACCGCGTTCTTGGGCCTTCATCTTGAATTGTTTGATTGCGCTTCATTCTTTGGGCTATCTGATTTGGGGATCCTCCAATTCGGCTTAATTTCTGGGCCGTTCGATTTGGGCTGAATTTTTATGTGTCAACAATTATCCCCCAATATGGCAGAATTAATACCAATTATTAAATTTTGCCATATTCACTTTGTGTTTTCAGTAACATTCGAAATTCCCAAGAATTTCGATCATTGTTTTCTTCCATAGTTTGAAAAGGTGCGACGTTTTGCAAACCCCTATAACCCCCAAGCACGCCATTTCACTGCACCATTAAATCACGCCTCACTTTTTCGCGTTTCTCTCCCATGATTTACTGTTCATCTTTTGCTTTCCTGCTACGTAACTCTGAAAAAACTCCGTTTAATCTCTAATGGCTACTTCACAATCTCAAGCTGGCGACTCCTTTAGTTTTGATGACTTTCAGAAACTTCTGAGTCGTCCATACATAACTTCGAGCTTTCTCGCGCCCGCCAATGTCGAACTCAATGAGTTCTACCTAGGTCCTTTCTTCAACAATGCAGAGGCAGTCGAACAGGCGGCGGTGGGCCAGCTGTTTCCTTGTACTCAAGGCCCTCCATTTCTAAACTCTCTGTCGCTGGGGCCACTTCGCGAAAGAGGTATTCGCACCTGGCCTAAATCTGATGTAGTTTTTCGTAGGTGGCATGCTCGTCTTGTGGGCCATGGTCCTACTAAGGCACTTTTTTATAATGTTAGGATCTCTGATTTGTTAGAAATCTCTATTCAACCCCCTACTTTTGATTCAGCACTTTTTTCGATCGCTTTGAGTTTTTGGTCTTTTGAGTATAATAACTTTATTTTCCCTCTTGGCCCCATGTCTATTACTTTAAGGGATGTTGGGGCTCTAGTGAATCTACCACCTTTGGGCGATACCATTTTTCCTGGTATCTTCATTTCTGGTGGCGTCCCAAAGTTCGGTAAAAACTACACCGAGTCTTATTCAAGCCTGCAAACCCTTCATAATCATTCGAGCGCTGAGCCTTCCCATACTGAGCGAGTGGCCTTTCTTCTGGTTTGACTTTGTAAATATGTTTTGTGTGTGCTAAGTATAAAGCCTTCCCTGAGTTATTTACCCATAGCGCACGAATTGGCGCGTGGCAGGCCTTTGAATTTATGTTCTTTCTTTTTGGCTGCCCTTTATAGAGGCATGGCTTCTCTTCAAACTCAATTGAAGAATGGTGCATCTCCCACTGGCAGTGGACCTCTTTGGTTCACTCAATTGTGGTTGAGATCCTATTTTCCATTGCTTGGTGCTCCATCAATTTCTCGTTCCTCTGCTAGCTGCTACGGGCTAGCCATTGAGCCATTGGCTCTCATAAATATGTCTAGAAGTGACATTTTTTCATTCTTTTATTCTTTGGATTCAATCCCTTCATTCTTTCCTTTTCCTCCTTTTTTGATTCCAAACTATGTGCATCCCCTCTCCACTATAGACAATGCAAGCACCTCTCTGCTCATTTGGATCCAGTTTTTAACCAGGAGGGAGTTATTTCATGATATTTTAACTTGGACCAATGCCAAGGCAGGGGTAGAAATTTATGCTCCCCAATTTTTTGCTCGCCAACTTGGTTTCGGCCAAACTTGGCCTGTTCCTCCTTGCTATTTAAGGAACTTGATTGACCGCTTTCATATTATTAATAAGGCGGAGACAGACGCTATAAATGCTCGCAATCTTCTTTTTAACAAGCTATTTTTCATTAGCCCCTTCAATTCTAGCCACGCTATCCATCCTTTTTTTGAACAGCTCTGGCCGTCAGTAAAGCGCAGATTGTTTGCGACTGATGCCAATCGTGCCTTTCATTTACTGGACCAGCCGAGCATTTCTTCCCCTCCTCCTGTTTTAGTCACTCCTTTATCTATCCGGAGTCCTTCTCCTCCTCGTCGTGCCAAACAGTCTACTCGTCCATCTTCTTCTCTCCCTGCCAAACCTACTGCAGCCAAGAGTGCCCCAAGTCGCAAACGGTCAGCCTCAGCATCTCCCATCCTGGAGGATGATGTTGATGATGATGATGATACCCCTCTTATCATCAGGAGGAAGGTAATTAAATTGGTTTACTCACAAGCATACTTTTCTATACTTGAAACTTTTCTGTGTGCTGCTGATTTATTTGGACTTCTTAGAAAAGCTTAGCCTCTCCTTTAAAGGCTTTGGCATCGGCAGCTCCTGCTCCATCATCCTCTACTGAGGCTGCTTCATCCAAACCGGTTGATGAGGGGACTACGCTTAAAGAGACATCTTCAGTCCCAGAATCCTCATCACAACCCATGGATGAGCCACCTTCTTCCCAGGTCGTCAACTCCCCAAACATCGAAGCAGAAGGTAATTCAGTTTTTTGATGTTTTACCTTTGCTTGTGCTATTGGTTTCTGATTTGTTGCTTTTGAGTTCTGCAGATACTCCTATGAGTCTGCCCGTTGTGGCAACATCTTCTCACTTAGACAAGGGGAAGTCCTCACGAATGGAGGAGTCACAGGTGGCAGACTTGGCTGAGGATATGCCATCTTCTACGATTATTGATGAGGTAATCTTTGCTTCACTTTTATTTCCATCTTGTTCGTTGTAGTGAGAATCTTCAATATTGGTAATTTTCTTTGCAGAATGCTGACAAGATTGTGCATTCCATCCAAGACTTGTTCGCTTCCTGGGGGCAAGTCAAGACATCTCGCCCTGCTCCATCTGGTCGTCCTGCTACTTCTTCAGAGGAAGATTTGAAGTTCCTCAAGCAGTCGATATTTTAGTACGTGTCCTTCATGGATATGGACATTGGTGAGGCTAGTGCTGCCAGACACAAGGATAAGTTTGAGCATTTGAATGCTCCGTCGCTCAATCTTTCTGCCGATTTTAAAGCGACGTTGAAAGTTATCCACTCCGAGATCCTCTCTTAGCTGGCCAAGAATGCCGAACTGAATGCCAAAAGTACTCAATATCTTCGTGCCGTATCTGAAAAAGAGTCTTTGCGTCTGGAGATCAACAAGGCTGAGGACGAGTTGAAAGAAATCTCTTCCGAAGTCATGATTGAAGACTCTTTGATGGTTAGTTTGGCTGCTCAGATGAAGGAACTTCAAGCCAAAATGGACGACTGCAAGGCCAGAATGGCTGCTAAAAAGCGTAACGCCTCCCAGGGAATTGAGCGAACTAAGTCTTTGGTCGAGCAGTATAAGAAGTCGGAAGTTGATGATGATGTCGTGGCCGAATTG